GTCGTCGTCGTCGTCGTCGTCGTCGCCGTCGTCGTCGTCGTCGCAGAGCTCCTTGCACGAAATCCTCGTTATTGGTCGCCGGAAGGATCTGACACCGACGAAACGAATGGAAAGGGTGAGTGGAATCCACAGATGGGATCTCCTTCAGTTTGGAGATCCTGCCCGATTTGAAAACAACAAGGAAATATATAAGCGAAGCACCTTTTATTCTTCGACTCACCTTGCGATACAATAAGCGTGAACGGTCTTACCTTAGGGATCTCAGTTAATTTATAACAAAAGCGGAGAGACACGCGGAGGGTTCGTTAACACTGAAAATAATATTTGTCGTCTGGAAGCAGAAAGAGTAAAAATACTTAGCTACAATGTATTCATATACATACAGGGTGTCCCGAAATTCGCGAATCAAAATATCAATAGCAAGAAAGTCTTCGAAAAATTAAGTAAAAAATAATCATGTATAACCAATAATGCCTTTCTAATCTAAATTTAAACTCTTATATCTCAAAAACTGTTTAAATTAAAAATTTACGAATAACTTTTTTACTTAAATTTAACTTGAAGAAATTGAGGCTCGTATAATGAATAATCAATCATATATAGTCAATAATGTATTTGCGAGCTAACTTAAAGAAATTGAGACTCGTATAATGAATAATCAGATATAGCCAATAATGCCTTTGCGATCCAACACGGATATTGGAGTGTAATAATTTTTACTGTTTCAATACCAAGCCACACAACTGTGCTGAATAAATTATTATATATTGTAACAGTAAAAATTATTACACACCAACATCCGTGTCGGCTCACAAAGGCATTATTGGCTATATATGATTATTCATTATACGAGCCTCAATTTCTTCAAGTTAAATTTAAGTAAAACAGTTATTTGTAAATTTTTAATTTAAGCAGTAGTTTTTGAGATATAAGAGTTTAAATTTAGCCAATTATAGGTTAAACGGAAACATATTCATAAACGCATTGATAGTGTTAGTGGTCGCGAACTTTACGCGAGTACTAATCTATAATTGGCTAAATCTAAACCCTTATATCTCAAAAACTATTGTTTCAAATGAAAATTTACAAATAACTTTTTTACTTAATTTTTCGAAGACTTTCTTGCTATGATATTTTGATTTACGAATTTCGGGACATCCTATATATATATATATATATATAGTTAGAAAGTCTTCGAAAAATTAAATAAAAAAGTTATTTGTAAATTTTCATTTTAAACAATAATTTTTGAGATATAAGGGTTTAGATTTAGCCAATTATAGATTAGTACTCGCGTATATATATATATATATATATACATATATTTTCCATATATTTTACATATTATTGTATTATTGTAATATGCTGTTTAGTAGCACGCACGCACTTTTGGTCAATTAAGTACTCAATTCGATTAGTCTGCATTACGTGCAGGTCATATAACTACCTACACAACTAATTTATGCGCATATAAATTAATAATTCATTAACCATGCAATTCAATCTTACTAGGCGTGAAATTGACGCTTGTTTGAAGTCACACAGGTTAACGAGTGATCGTTTATTCGATTCGGCGACTCGCCGAGAATCAAAGATCTTATCATAATGTATCGGATTAACGCAGGTTGACTTCTGCATTATTTATATCGGAAAATTTTGCGTGCTGCATATTAAAAATAAAACGTACCTTCATATGACGTTTGTGTTCGCTCTAATTCGCAACTCTGCTTTCTCGGATATTAAATCAAATAAATACATCGGTCGTGAGAAATTCTGTTTCGCCGAGAGCGACGAAAAATCTCGAATGTCGTCGGGACGATAAGCCAAGGCGAAATAAATAAACTGGGGGACCGAGAATATACACTTTTCTCCGGTGTGAAATATTAAATCGACCGACGACAATTCCGCAAGGCAAATACACATACGTCTCTTATGCAAATCGAGCTGGAGTACGTGGAGTAGGCAATGCATTTGCCAAATGTACTGCTATTACGCGTGTTACCTCTACATTTGGCTGTAATTTTTTTCTTAATGCCACGCTCTCTCACGCGCGTATATTATCCTTTCCAAAAGAAATTCTCGATTATAATTGAGCAGGCGAGGAGAAGCTGCTTTTCGACTTGGTGCCGACTAAACTTTTTATAACCATTACGTTGTCGAAACGTCATATTAACATATCTCGGTAACATTAAATGTCATGCCTCTAGAGCGCTTCAGAAAAATGTTTTATTTGTATAACGTTACTACAACGTACAAGTAACGTAGCGATCGATTTCGCATAATGACACATTCCTGTTACGTTGCAGAAATCTCACAAATGAAACCTTTCCTCTGAACCGTCGTAGAGGTAGGACATTTGCTATCGCCGCGATATTAGTATAACGTTTCAACAACGTAATGGTCACAAAATGTTTAGTGGGTGAGTTTTGTTGGATATATGTATATTTACCGGTCGACGATCTAAAATTACCGCAAGTTATTGCACGTATAGCTGCAGAATTTAGTAGTTTACAATACGTAATAATTCTCGCGGTAACGGCGCTCGTAAAATGCACTTTATCACGTCACTTCCGAAACGATCCCGCGACACACTGTACATATGCGTACAGTGCAATAAGTGGACCGAGCGCAGGATGCAGCGTTCGTTCAGCGTAAGGACATCCCCTGCGGCGTGGCGGCTAGTATACGTGGACTTTTAGTTTTCGACGCTGTTGTTATTGAGCGCCCGCATTCATCTCTGCCGTCGTATCAATATTCATATAACATTATGTGCAACTCGCGCGCGGACACCGCGCGTCCATCTTCGTCGCACCGTCCGCGAGCCGATTCGGCGCGTGCCACTCGAATCGGCCGTAAAAAAAATTTATTTCGCCGCGCACACGCGACAGGTGTATAATGTTGCCGGTGCGAACGAAGAAAACGTATCGCCTCGGCCGAGTGGATTTATCGCTGCGTCAACCGACGGCGCCGCGCCGCCGGCTTTGCCTACTCGTGCGAAATAAGGAGAAAGAGAGGAAAGGGGAAGCGCCGGGGCTGTGCCTCACTTAGTCGTATAAAACAGACGAAGACTAAGGATCTGGGCCACCCCCAGGAGTCAGTGCCGGTGAAGAGACTGAACCGTGTTTTATGCCAGGCTTTCCGCGCCGAATCAGGACGCCGTGTGTCTTACACGACGGCAGATAATGAAGATTTAGTACTACCCGCAGATTTTGTCACCGAAATAATTTGTCCCCTCTAATATCGATGCGGCGCAATTAAAGATGTATGTGTATTAAATACGAAATGTATAGAATAATAACGGATTAAATAATATTGCGTGTGAAAAATTGATTAAAATACGTCTAATATATTGTATATCTGACAAAATTTTTCAAAATACAACGTTAACGTATAAGAGAAAAAAAATCATTCTTTTTTTCGTATTTTATATTGTATTTTTAATCCAAATATACAACGAACAATTTAATTTTCTTACGCGAGCGAAAAGAGTGGCGATCAATCGTTGTATCTTTTTGTTCCTATCGGGCGCTATACCGTCGACTTTAAACGCTCCCACCTGTTTCTCGGCGTGTCCCTCTCAATCCATCGCTTTAACGTGTATCGGCATTCGCCGTAACAGAGTTACAACTAATCTGACCTGTTTATCTCAATTCAACGGTATATCGCTTATTTTCTCGTTCACCGGAAGACGTTACGTCGAAATCTGCGCGAACCTTCCGCATGCGATCAACCGAGACCTGGCACGTATACACGTGTCGTGTGTAAGTACGTGCACGTGGAACCGTATCCGACAGCGGTACAGATTGCGTTGTATTTCACGTGCTGGCGTGTGCCGTAACCGCCCGCAATTCGGCCGGTCAGGTGGCCGGAGCCAATCGTCACCGTGAAACAACCGCCGACAACCGAGAAATGAAGTAGAAACGTTGTTTCGCGTGTGATGCGGTTTCCATGAACCTACAAAGTACAAACCATGGAGAGAGAGAGCGTGCGCGCGCGCGAGAGAGAGAGAGAAAGGAGAATCTATATATGTACTTCGACACGATGGCCGTGGAGCTTCGTTGGTTAAACGGCAGATTTATCGCGCTCCGTTAAGTCGGCGTAATTGAGATGTTCAAGCTCGACAATCGGGCACCGGCGAGCTCGGTGGTTCGAAACGATTTAAGGGGACTAACGAAGAGAGAATACCGTAAAGAGATCGATAAGAAGCGATTTTACCATGGCAATTCCAGAAGCATGTATCTTCTATGCCAAATGATTCACCTGAATATATCCATGCACGGAGAGAATTTTAATTTTAAAATTAAAATTTACCCTGAAAATCATGCTAATCGTGGGACAACATAGAGTATTTCGACGAATTTTCACTATTTTTTAAATATATATTACAACAAATTTATGATAGTGAACAGTAAAAAAAACAGAGAAAATTACATAAAATTTGTCGAAATATATATTGTTCCACGATTTAACATGATTAAACATGTTAAATCGTGGGACATTAACATGATTTTCAGTAAATTTTAAAAGAAAATTCTCTCCGTGCATGTGAACAGATTATGTGTGTAAATAATGTATAATTAGTGTTCTAGTATATAATAAAAGCAAATGAAAAAGCAAGAGTCCAAAAATATATACATACATATTTTTTTTATCAAAAAGAAGAAGAAGAAAAATATTAAATTAAATAAAAATATTTATAGCTCAGTCAAATTTAACTATCAAAGAATTTAATTACTGTAATAAAACGTTTGAGTCTAGGCAAAAAAAAATGATTATGATAATATAAATAATACAAAATATTTATGTACAAAGAAGGATAATTGAATAAATAATATAATTAATAGAGAACTTTGTTATAAAAACTTAATATCTAATTCCCTTCAATCGACTGGAACTTAATAATTAGATATTGTCATGCGAATAATTAAAATGTTTCCAGAAAGAAATCACAAGCGCAGCAAAAAAATCGGTGACGGGCAGATAAACAAATTGGATTACAATCAAGCCGCTTGATTGAATGAGTCCTTTGTACCGTAGATTAACAAGGAAGTTAAATGCTTTACAGCAGAAACTCTTTGTAGCTTTCATGAGTAATAAGCTCTGAATCAATCACGTATTCAATAATTTTGCCGTTCCGCAAGAAAAGAGTGAATCCTCACAATTCCATTTCGTACTGTGTGTTTTGAATGTGAACGCGGAATTATATGAGCGCAATTTTAGGGAAAATCGGGAATACGTTTCGGACACCTCGTCCGTCAACCTCTGATGGACAGCCTTAACATCTCGTATGCATAATGCATTATTTTAATTTCCACGATGCGACAACGGTGAAAGTAAGCGTCGGAATGCATTACACAGCGACGTGAAGCGCGCGCGCCTATACACGCGCGACTTTTTCCGCTATTTTAATAATTTCGCATTCGCTCATTCGCGTTTACCGCGACATGAGAGATCATATTTCACACGATAGGACGTAGGGTCGCCGCGCGGACCACGCCATTTTTCATGCAATGCTCTCGACGATTAACTATCAAAATAACCCGCGTTGTTATTGCCGTCCACAGCAGTGTACCATTACACGCAATTATCTAACGACCGGACGGTTCAGCGGTATCATGTAACATATATGTAAACAATATATTTTAATCAAATATAGCTTAAAGAGAGGTATCATATTACATTAAATAAAACGCATTCTATAAAGATCTTTTTATTTATATAATAATTCTTCATTAAAATTAAAATTACGCGATATGTAGAGATAACCATAATTGCTTTTACTTTAACAGTTAAATTATTTTTTTACTATTTACATTTCTCTCACGTTGAAAATAAAACACACTCTTTCTTCAAATCTCTAATATCATCCATTTGATTTTACTACATTTGATAGTTTTAAATTTATTTCATTGCACCAAAGACATCTCTTCCGTAGCGTTGCTTGTAATCAGCACTTTCATTTTAGCCACTTCAAACGACAGAAGACAAAGGCAGTAATAAGATCAAAGCGTTCTCATACTCGTTACGATTTTCATTATGTGCTCTGGTGCATGCAGCCTGCGTGGCTTAACTCATTGATAAGTGCGCCGAGAAAGTGTACTATGCTTCTAAGCAGTTATATCATATTTTGCATAAATATTGTCAAATTATAGCTTAGTCAATTTATATTGCTTAGAAAGACATTTTGCGCTACGCATAAATTTAAGAGATCTTTCTTGAAAATTTCACTCTCCCATTCTTTCTTCAAAAATTTACTCAAGCATGTATTTAGTATCATGTAGCACTCTTATGTATGTACATTATATAATATATTTGAAAAGTTAAAATATAATCTTGAACTGTACCTTTAATTTGAAAATGCTCAAATTATTAAAACAAATAAAAGTCATACATAATAACATATTATACTTAAGGGGAGGAGCTTGGTTTAGCACGTTGAAAAATTAGGTGACTCTTTTGGAATTTTTTTTAGGAAACTATTCGACCAACCCTTTTGAACTTTATAGGATAATTTCTTATACTATTGAACTAACAAAAAAATATTTTCTGCGAGAGAAAAGTATTTATTATGCAAGTAATAATAACATTTATTCAGCGGTGATGGTGTTTGGCGGCGTGCAAGATAACTCAAAAACTATTCATCCGATTGACTTGGGCCTTTGCAGTCTTTGCACACGTCTGCACAAATACTTCCCTAATAAGTTAAACTACAGTTTATAATAACATTATTTAATTAAATAATTTTTATTGCATAATAAACACGAAAAATTTTTTGCCAAAATCGCTACTTTTTTTTCCAAGTGTCGCGATTTTCACAAGTTCGTATTATTTTCTTTAATAATAGGTTTAGTTAATGTGTAAACTCTTAATAAACAATAATCTTTTTAGATTTTTTTATTTCAGACAAATACAAGCGACGCTATATTGTACGCCGCCCGCCGACGCGCCGAATAAAAAGTTATTATTACTTGCATAATAAATACTTTTTTCTGGCAAAAAAATATTTTTTGTTAGTTTAATAGTATAAGAAATTATCCTACAAAGTTCAAAAA